AAAGCAAGAAAGAACAACATGATAATAAATAAACGCCATATAGATCATTCATAACGAAGAAAAATCCAATCCAGTAAAAAGGAAAAACGAAAACAACAAAAAACGTGCTATAAAGACAGAGAAAAACGTGCCATGAAGATAAAAGAAGAGATGTGATAAAGACATCATTATTAAAAATAAAAAATAAGAAAAAAACAAAGATACGCTATAATAAAACAAAAGAAAAACAATGAATACCAACAGTCGGCTACTAGCACCAAGGCTACTGACCCTGTCGATCACAAAGATAAAAAAAGAAAAATGACTAACGACGGCTAAGGAAAAAAGAGAGAAAAATAGGACAAACCCTAAAACCAACCCAATATTTTTAATGCAAATAGAGACTTTAATTATATTAAAAAAAGAAATATCTAAGATTATAATGAAGTTTACAACCATAAAATGTAAACTAAACATATAATTGAGATATTTTTCTATATATAACCATTGACAAAAGAAACTAGTCACTCGAGATCATATAATGACCATACAAGGAAAATGCTAAAAATTCATCCAAAAAACTCGAACAAAATATAGATACAAATAGATCTGATTGCATTGGCAAATGAACCAATGGATCAAACTACTGAAAGACTACCGACAATCGCAAATCAAAGTCGAGCGTTGTGAGAAAACTATCTTACAACACAAATTGTATATCCAAATTCAATATAAGGGTCCAAAACAAGGAAGATTAACATGATAACAAATAAATGATATCTTGATAAGTCGAAGCGACGTCAAATCCAATCCCGAGAAAATTAACCGAAAATAATAGTCAAACGACCACTAAAAAAACTGAAAATGTGTTAAAAGATAGATGAAAGTGTATTATAAAGACAAAGTTATTAGAAATTAAAAACAAAGAAAAAAAAGATACAATATGAGAAAAATGAAGGGAAAATAAGGAATATCAGTTATCAATCTTATATTATTATTATTATTTTTATATTTATATTTATTGAATATAAATTATTAAAAGTGTTATTCAAAATATTTACAATTAGTAAATTATTCAATAATTCATAAAAAAAGTAATGTATTTCATATTTAAAATATTCTTTAATCCATATTTGTAAGCAAATGTTATGCATAAATACCATAAATCTGGCGAATTAACAAAGCCAATAGCATCATATTGTTAGGTATGATTTGCTTCATTATTTTATTGGTGAATACGTATTTTCGGGGACAAGATTCATCTGGCTGTCTATTTCATATGAATTGAATAAATATATAGTATATGGTAAGATGGCTAATATATATATATATGATAAGATACAAATATGATCTTGCTTCGTAATACAATAATCTTAATTAAAATTAATTACTAGAAGAAAACTTTACACGGGTTACGAGTTTTGATCTTGGAACTACATGAAACCATTAATGTCTAAAATATCTGAGATTTCAAACTTTAAATTGTTGTTGTCGTAGTTTTCTCTTTCGTCTTCGGTAATGTTGCTACCGTTGACGTATGTCGAGCTCGACAAAGGCGTCGATAAAACCGATTCGAGTGAAGGGTCGATGACGGTTTGATGATCAGAGCCGTAATAGTTATAATCTGACGGTAGCGGCATGTAATCTTCAGTCAAATTTGAAGGCATGGCATTGCCTTGATAGCCACTCAAGCCACTGATATTTGATTGAAACTTCTGGTCCACGAGCTGTGTTTCGTTAGTAGATGGAACACTACATGTTGGGATTTCATTAGACTGCATTAATGGCTGATTAAGGAAAATCTGGTTTTGGTTGTAAAGAGATGAGCTTAAGATCCACGAGAGATCGAGAAGATCCAGCCGAGGACGATGAGTCACCGGATCGATCCCCATTCGAAGCAGAATCTTTCTAATGTGAGTGTTCCAATAATTTTTTATTTCGTTATCTGTTCTTCCCGGCAACCGAGCAGCAATAGCAGACCACCTAAAAACACACAAGAAAAAAGAACACTATAAAAACAAAGAGAAACATAACTAAAAACAGTATCGGTCAGAGTAGTAAGAAATTATATATATTTTTTCTTTATTTCTCGTTTAAGAATCTTACTTGTTGCCTAATATACTATGTAATTGAATTATAATCTCTTCTTCTTCAAAAGAAAACCTTCCTCTCTTGATATCAGGCCTCAAGTAATTAGTCCATCGAAGACGACAACTCTTTCCGCATCTTTGCAACCCTAAAGTATTTACACATTAAAAATTTCAACCAAAGAAGAAAACATCAACATAATTCATCCACAGGGTTTTACCAGCATTCTTTGGGAGTGTCCTCCAATTTCCATAACCATATTTTTGAATATAATGAACCAATTTCCGATCCTCTTCCGGTGTCCATGACCCTTTTTTGAGGCTGTTTTTATCACAACAAGGTTCTCTTCCCATGTTTTTGCCTGAAAATGATACAGAGAGAGATGGTGCAGCAAAGTCCCGTATGGGGACGTACATGTATAAATAGCGAGAGATAGGTGAGCCAAGTCAAAAATGATTCGGTACCGTCCTCTGCTTATTAATATGCAACGTGTCCATATCTTTATTGTTATCATCATTTGGCTTTTAATAAATCTAACGTATATCGGTCTAATATCTCTTCAATATCTATTTAATTGTGATTATTTTTGTCTAACATTTTCTTAGTTGAAAATGTATCGAGTGACTTCAGTAATAAATAAATGTTGTTATTTCTTGAGACTTTGAGTTCGAACAATTACGTATACAGATAATGTGCGTTATTAATAGAGAACATATACTATTATATAACCACCCCAGAGTATTTAAAAAAATATTTTCTAAGTTAAGAGTATCACTCCTTACCTACTGGATTCATATTATGAACAATACTACTAGATAATCACCTACTGTTGTTCCGATACAAATCTTATCGTCAACGCAATCAAATATGGGTCGAGAATGAATCACTCACAAAGCTAATAGTGATGTATATGAATTTTATTTATGCTGCAAACTGCAATGCGATAGATAACTTCTTAAGTCTTCATCTTTGTTCGCAGCCACATTTGAACATGATGATTGCTTTTGTTTTGTCCACAAATTGTCAAGGCTCAACTTCGCTGGTGCAGTCACGTCCTAGCAATTATTATTGAAGGCTTTGCTTCCAAAAGTAGACTATGAGCCGCTTTCTGATGGCGATATATGCTATATATCTCTAAGATCAATTTGTATATGTTTTCAAGTATATACTATTAATATTCGGATTTATGTTAAACATAAATTAATAATTTTAATAATTAGAAAAACAAATAAATATCAGGTTAAGTAATGAAAAACTTGATTTTATAAAAATAAAATCTTAAATTTGTAGAAGAAGAAAAATTAGTGTTAAGAGATTATTCTTTAAAGTAATTTAACGATGATCATTAAAATTATTGGAAATAATAGTTTATTAATCACACTTTATAATGTCCTATCCATGATTAATATTGTTGATATTTAATAAAAAATATAAATAAATATCATTTTATAATAATTCATACTATTAAAAAAATCCCAAAAAGTAAATAAAAAGAAAGTGTGTAACTATCCCTAAAACCATATATTAACGGGTTATGGTTTTGGATGGTCCTCATTTTGGGCTGCCATCGTCTTAGCTAGGTGGTGTGGAGATGGTCGATTGAAAGTGGGCTTCAAATGGAGATATTATAGTCAAATCCCACAAGAAACATCCAACAATCAATCGCAGACATCTGTTTGTCCTTATCCACTTATCTCCAATCTTAGTCATTGTCTTTGTCCTTTGTAATAATAATAAAAAAACTCTTTGGACGCGTTTTCCACTGTTGAAAAACGCCCTTGTGACCTCCTCGCTATTTCTATATATACCCAGGCTTGATCTCCTTGCAAATACTTTTTGGATCTAATCTTTTCCTTTTGTAAATCCAAACCAAACATCCATGTCTGAATGTAAGCTGATGCCTCTCAAAGATTCTGCCTCCTCCTCCTCTCTTCTTCTTCTTCTTCGACGGCTTATTCTTGTTCCTCCAAGCAAGCAAGGTGTTTCCCCACCGCGGTCAATGCCTGTGGGGCTTTCAAGGTTGCCGCCGCCAACAACGACCGGCTGAAGCAGGCTGAAGAGTCTCTCTGGACCGTCCTGTATTTGAGTTGTTGGGGTCCTAACTAAGCCCCACTGTTGTAATAATTTTTACGTGTACATATCCTTTTACATGTTCATAAGGGAGTACAAATATGCAGTGTGGAGGATCATAAAGCCCTACTGATTAGTTATATCATGTTTCCCATCTCTAATTTCCTTATGGTTAACTAAAGAATAAGACATTTGACCTAGCTAAAAATGCTTCGTATGATTAATGTTACACCTCATGCATGACAAGTATGATACATATAAATACATACATGGCATGCTTGTCCATCCTCTTATAAAGAAAGTAAAATATTCCAGATCACAATTATTTTTTTATAACAAATAAATCCTTTTAAAAAAATTACAAACATGTCATTTAATTAAAATAGCATTACAAACATGTTATTAACCATTAAATAATAGATAAAATAACAATTTAGTTTTCAAAATTTTACGGTCTATCAATTTAGCCATAATTCAAAATAATTTAATAATTTTAATCTTCATTTTTTAAAATTTCATCATTTTAATCTTTCCTTACTAACTATTGAACAAGACACTTGACCTAGCTAAAAAATGCTTCATATAATTAATATAACACCTCATGCATGACAAGTATGATACATGCATACTTACATGGACAAATTAACATCATGGAATAAATTTGTGCCCAACCCGTTTTTAAACCCATTGACTCAGAACCCATACACCAACAAGCTAATTTACTTTGCTTGGATAGAGCCATGCCCATGCTTCTCATCTCCATCCCCACCACATAAAACTCCATAAACATTAGCCATGTTATGATTGAAAACTTATAACCGGAAAAAAGTGTGATTTTACACTTACCTGGTACAACCCTTTATCAAACTATGATTTTACACTCACCTCGTACAACCCTTTATCAAACACCATTGGTATCCAATCCTAGAAATCTTCAAACACTAGCCAAAAACCAGACCAGTTTTTCACCAGCCACCAAGTTGTTCTTTACTACAAGAAAACATGTAATAAGAAGATGTATTAATAGCCAAGGTGGTGAAGGGGAGAAGAAGACAGAAAGGAGGAGTTTCCTTTCTCTAGAAGAAGCTGGTTTGGTGGAAATATCTGGTTTAAGCACTCATGAAAGGTTCCTATGTCGATTAACGGTAAACCCTCTCTTCTCTAATTTTTCAATGTTATTTAAGTGTAAACATTAAGGAACTGGGATGGGATGTGTTTGCAGATATCATCTTTAAAATTACTGAGAGTGATATCAGAACAAGAAGGATGTTCAATTGAAGAACTGAATGGTGGAAGGGTATGTGATTGGTTTGTGAAAGATAAACTGAAGAGGGAACAAGATATAGATTCTGCAGTTCTTCAATGGGATGAATCTGAATTCCCAGTTTGAGACTTTTGTTTCCTGCTTCATTTCTATCCCTGGCTAAATATATAAAGGTTTTATGATGTTTGATATTGGTTGTCCCCTCTGATAAACTTTGGTTCACACAATCCCCTTTCCACTAATGCAAGATTGATTGTTCTAGAAATAAAATATTGTTCTTCTAGAATTCATATTCAACGGTTGTATTTATAAGTTGTATATAAATTATTAGTAATTAAAAAATATTTTAAACATAAAGACTCGAAAAAATAGACTCTCCATTTAATTTCTGACCCGATGTGTAAAGATTCTTTACCTGAGTGGATGCACTTTACCCCTAGAAGACCAAGTACATACTAATTATTTTGGATAAATTATTTAATATAGTTCAATATATTAAAGGAAGAAAAAATAAAAAATTTTGAATACCCATTTTATTGAAAAGAAGAAAATATTATAATTTTTAGATCTTATTTCTAAATTTTTGATCAAATTCACCCTCAATCCAATTTAATCGATTTTTTAAAAAAGCTGTAATTAATCTGATAAGTTGAAGGTACTAATTTTTCTTAAATAATATTAAAGATTAATATTCTTAAAGGTAGAACAAGTCCAATTATAAAATTATTCTTTTAATAAATATCTATAATATTTCATCCGTTTTAATTGATAAATAAATATATATATATATATATATATATTAAAATTTATTTATACACGGTAAAACCAAAGAATCTTATTTTCCTACAAAATTTTAAAAAAGATAATCTAATTTAATATTAAAAAAGACGGAAATGAGTTAAACTGAAAATATTATAAAAATTATAATATTTTAGATTCAACGTAATTTAAAATATTAAAATCTATATAATATATTCAATTACAACATAAAATGTTAAAAAATAGAAAAATGTTTTTTATTGCCAAAAAAATATTACAAAAAATTAACATACAAGGTTCAATTAAAAATATTATTAAAAAAGTAATATTTTTTCTATTTGTCCACGTGTTTCATCAACTACTCTAACTAAAAGTTTTTTGTAATTTACTGTTTAACCCTCAAAATCGTCGTTGACGTTGACATGCTTTTTTTTCCGCGGCTGTTTGCAGAAACATAGCAGGTGGAAATTAACTCGGAAATAACTGTATTTCAAATTAAACCAAAAAAGGTTATGGTCAAATTCTAGAAAACTCCCTGTAGTATATATTTTTAACGGATTTAATCTCTTTATTTTAATATAATAGTTTCAAATCTATATTTCTTTGAACTATGTACTTTCAGTCATTAATTGAGACCAATGATTTCACATTATTTATTTTATAGATATATGAAAATTCAAGGTATATACACCAAATATGTTTGAAAAAAAGTAATGTTAAATTAGTTGATAAAATTAACAAATAAAATTGATCTCTTAACTGAAAATACATATTTCAGAAAATAGTGTACCAAGTAAAATAATTGTATACCAAGGGACTAGATTCGCCAAATATTATAATACAAAGACCTTTAGTAAAATTTGACCAAAATTTAAGTAGTAAAAATTTGAAGAACAGTGGAGGATACGGTGCCGTTGGGGAAGCTTGATTGATCGTCCCCGCTGGTTTAAATGCAAAGGGCAAAACGGACTTCAAGTTCTGACAAGTCAAATACAGTACAACCGAGCGCTTAAATCCCACACGCTCTTTCTCTCTTCTCTCTGTCTCTTTTCCTTTGTCACGAGTTTCTCGATTCGAGTAGCAGTTAAAGGTTCCTTTTGTGCTTTCGAAAACTTAAAAAAGGTGCCGTACATAAGCTTCTGATTGTTTCGATAGAGGGATGACGGCGATAGAAACCGACCAAAAGTCGCCGTCCGATGGCAAAGTTTGGGGGTTTTTCAAGCTGCCTTTCAGACAAACCGGGAACGGTAACAGTACGACATCGTCTTCTGTTTCCTCGGCTTCGAATCTGCATACTCAAAGTCGACCTCATGTCGAAGGATCCAATCATCACGGCTCCGCTAACTCCGTTTCCTCCGTCGCCAAGTCGTTTTTAGCGACTCGTCGCCGGCTCAAGCTTGATCCGGCTAATAAGCTCTACTTTCCATGTATGTACTCTTCTTTGCAGTATTTTCAGATTCTAAATTTTCCGTTTGTTTGATGCTTATTTCGGGAAATTAACAATGATAAGAGAAGAATTTAAGAGTAGAGTTTTCTGAGGATCAAGATTGTTGATTAAAGTGGCTGATATAAGCATACTAAATTTTGTATTTTCTTTTTAAAATTTTTGCTACTCAGTATTTGAAATATTTAGACTTAATTCAGGAATTTTTCTATTTGGTTCATTTCCGAATCTAGATTTCAATTATCTTGTTCTTAATTGTTTATTTTGTTTTTCCAAGATGAACCTGGCAAACAAGTTAGGAGCGCGGTGAGGATAAAAAACACGAGCAAGTCATACACGGCTTTCAAGGTAAATAAAACCTTAATTAAACCTTTGGAAATTTTCATTTCTACTTTTTTTTTCTTTGTTGCCTTTCTTGTTGTCCATGTTTGCTTTATTATAATTTATATAAGCTAGAGATAGAAGTGGAATAATGTTGTGTTTTATGACGGTTGCTTTGATCTGTAATGACTGTGATGAACCCCGGTTGCTTTGATCTGTAATGAGTAATGATTGTGATGAACCCTTTCGTTTCTGTTGGTTTAGTTTCAAACCACCGCTCCGAAGAGTTGTTTCATGCGCCCACCGGGCACTATTCTTGCCCCGGGCGAGAGCATCATTGCAGCGGGTAATTGCTTCTTTTACACTCTTTTGTGTGTGTACTCACATTGGCATCAATATATATGTGTTACTGTTCATTTTGTCTTCCGAAATATTCTTATGATTTTCTCTTCCTGGTTTGAATGGATTTACTAGTCTTTAAGTTTGTGGAGCAACCGGAGAATAATGAAAAGCCAATGGAGCATAAGAGCAGGGTTAAGTTCAAAATCATGAGTCTCAAGGTGAAGGGTCCGATGAACTATGTTCCCGAGCTGGTGAGTTGAACTTCTCCTGTATAACTGTGTTTTCATATGATCCACATGTTTTCCATTTTCTATCTTGATGACAGAGAATAATAAGAGTTTTAATAGTTTTACCATATTTAGATTCGAGTGAGCTTATGATGAATATAATAATATTCTGTTGATGCACATAATATTTACTTGGTGTTTAAATTATCCTAAAAACAACTTTATGAGGATGGCATTACTGATAAGCAGTTCTATAGCTTGATTTGGATTCTTGTATTTCCAGGGCTTTATAATTTGAAGCATAAAATGTCACTATGGAACAAAACTTCTCTATCCAAATATTCTTCTTTATGGGATCTGTACCTTCTGTCTACAACATAAAAGAAATTACTGTGCTTTACGTCCAGAATTGTTCTTTCATTTTTATTTATGTACTTTGCAATTTTGTCATCGAGATGTCCTGTTGTTGCTGTAAATCGACTTTTGAAGGCAACATATGCCCAATTATAATGCTTAATCGGATAAGAATATCTTGAAAAGCTGATATTGGGCCTATTTTGATAGAGCAAGCATGGTTTTGTCAATCATTCTTTGGGGTTGTATAGGCTCCCTTTGTTTGATGCTCAATTGAGAATACTCTTTCAACATCTAAACTATTGATTGCTCTTCTCCCCATATGATCTTTTTCTTTAAGGTGGATATTTGTAAATCATGTAATTGATCTTTGGTGTCTGTATTTTGTAGTTTGATGAGCAAAAGGATCAAGTTGCAATAGAGCAAATATTACGGGTTGTTTTTCTAGATCCGAAGCGCCCTTGCCCTGTAAGTATTGTTACCATCTTACCATCTTAAGCCATCAGATTTATGTGCATGTATTCACGCTTGCATGATACTTATCAATTATCATGCATACCAAATTATCGAATCCAAGCAAACTAATTAGTCTAAATATATATATGTTTAAGGCTCTGGAAAAATCGAAGCGCCAATTAGTTGATGCTGATGCCGCAGTTGAGGCACGCAAAAAGCCTCCGGAGGATGCTGGTCCGAAACTCCTCGGTGAAGGACTTGTGATAGATGAATGGGTAAGTTTTCTCGTAATCGCCTGATGGAAATTATTCTTATAGACGTTTTACTTCCATGATATGAATTACTTATGACCATAAATTTATGTCGTGCAGAAAGAGCGAAGGGAAAGATACCTTGCTCGACAGCAGGTTGACGGAGTAGACTCAGCTTAAAGCAGCAATTCTCGGTCAGTTGCCTCGTCATATGTTTGAAGTTTTATATAATCATCTCGAATCATTTCATGTAACGAAAAGGGTGTTGTCTTGGAAGAATGATGAGAAAATTTCAAAATCTTTTGTTGTAAAAAAAAGAGAGAAAAAGAAAAGTGAAGCTACACTTTCTGTACTTGGAGACTTGAAGCTGAAAACTCAAAACTCAGCTAGTTGTTACTATCTGCATTGTAGATAATGTGATTTTGTCGCCGCCCTAAGGGGATTTAAGCTGTTCTTTACGGGAGTGCTTCAGTGCAGGGATGGATAAAGGGAGGGTTAACGGGGCAGAGATTCCTTGAAAATTTCAAATTCTAACTAATATAATTATTTGTTTTATATTTTCTATTAATATGTTTTTGCCTCCTAAATGACGTTTTCTGTCCTCTTTGAGAGGGAGAGGACCATAGTCCTAATCATCATTTTCACCAATCTTACTCAAATCTAAAGTTTTTAAGGAAAATAATACTCTATTTAATCACTAAATTCATTTGATGGGTTCAATTTATTTAATCTTACTTATTTAATATTTATAATATTTCTTACATGTTTTATTTTAAAACTTTTTTAAATATATCTAAGTGAATACAAAGTAATATGTATTTAAAGAATTTTAACCATTTAATAATGAATGCTTATATCTTTATATGTTGTGACTTCAAAAAATAATAATAATTTCTAATCATTAAGATCAATGCTATTTTAAAACATTATGAATATAAAACGATATATCAAAATTTGATCCCTATATAATACTGATTTCTTTCGATCGATGAGCGAGGTCCGATTGTAGCAATGAACGCGCTACGATTCAGGTCCAGAATCTATGAGGCTGATTACATGCCCATTATCATTTTCCTTTTAATTCTATTTCTTGATTAATTCTATTTTTATGTTGTTTTTAATTGTTAACGATATTATTTATTTATTTTATTATATATATGATTCAAATTAAAAATTCATAGTTAATCCAAAAATTGTCTCATATGAAAGTTCCACTATTACACTATGGGAAAAAAGCAAGTAAAACTTCTTGATTCTTCATTTGGAATAAAGTTTGTGGAAATAATATTATTATTTATCTTATATTTTATGATTAATTTGATATTGGCCCACTAAGTGACTGCACAAACTGGCATTATCAATGGTTAGTTGTGGTATTTTATGATAAATATGCCAATTATAACTGCCTACTTTTAAAGAAAAATCAAAATATTGTGGTATAAAGGGTGAACAAAAGAAAACAACTTGAAATAAAAAAAATAAACGGATATGAAATTTTAACCAATTCACTAATTATAAATCATAATATTTTAAATTTACCTTTTCTATTCAAGATCCTTCGTTATCCATAAAGAATACGACTCGAGAGTCATTATTAAGACCAATTCACGGATAAATACAATTACTCTAATAAATAACAATCCAATGCCAATTTAACTCATTGATAGGATTTAGTGATGAAAGAGAATGTTATTTTTTTTAGAGATCTTAGGTTCAAGTAATTGTGTCTACAAAGTGTATACATTGTCGGATCATCTTGATTTCAAGATATATTACCGCCTTTGGTGTGATCATGACCTTAACTGCACATATCCGTCAATTAAGATTTCGATCTTAGCGAGTCGCTCAAGAATTAAAGGTAAGAGTTTTTTTTTCTTTTATCTTTTCTGTCTTTTCCTCTTTTTATGACTTCGTTTTCTTTTTTAGGCCTCTTCACGTGTTTTCTCTGTCTATATTTTCGGATAGAGTGTATTGTGTGTTGTTTGTGTATCGTATTTTGAGATTCATATATGTTGTATACAGACAAATATGGTTATTGTGAGAGATGATGGTCAAATTTTTAATGATTTTAATATGTTAGGATAAAAGAGCAAAGGGTGAGAGACGTAGGGAAAATTATTGAATTAGTTGATTGGGTCGTTGAGTTAGTCTAAATCAAAATTTGAATCTAAATCCAAATTTTAGATTGAATTTTAAGTTTATATTTAAGATTCAAATTCCAATATTTTCAGAGTACGATATAATTAGACTTAAATAAAATCGATATTGATAATTTAAACATGAAATGTAAATTATATGTTATAGTGAATATAAGAACATAAAAAAGATTTTATAGACAAAGGAGGAGGTGATGGACCAACATTTAAAAGACAAGGGAATAACACTATAGCACATGATTCTTTTATATAATCAAATGCACTGACACACCGAAAGGATAAAGTAACCAACAAATTAAATTCCATTTATCCACTTTTTTTCCTTCTTACCTAAAATAAATTATATAAAAAAAAATTCTTAAAATCGTTAATAACTGGTTTTTTAAATATATTTTATGACAAAATTCTAGCTGTAGACTCATCCATATTTTATGATTCATATTTTCTCTTATTTGATTTTAGAAATAAATCTAAACGGGACAAACAAAAACCTTGACCACTTGATTACTTGATGTATTTGTTTCTTTTAAGCACATCTTGAAAAATAATCCATTCATTTTAGTTCTTATATTATAAGATTTACAACTTTAATCCTCAACAATTTTATATTTTTGTCCCAACTCCTCGATAAAAAAAATTTAGGTTTTGTCCTTGATTAGTTGCAAAGTTAATCAAAAGTTTTATTACTTATAAATTGAATTAAGCTAAAATAATAAAGGATTTTGATATTAAGTCTTTAATTTTATCAATTTTTCCTTTGATCTTAAATTTTTTCCCTCCATCGCCTTACTAAAAAAAACCTTAATTTCATGATTTAAAATCACATTCTATCGTGTTTTTATGACTTCATACCCGGCCGAACCGAAGTGTTTTTAGTTAATCGATCGATCGGTTATTCGATTTTAGGGTTAATAATCGATTAACGGTTAATAATTTTTTAAATTTCAGTTATCGATTAATTCAGTTCGAATTTGATTAACCAATCGAATTAATCAAATTAACTGAAATTATTAAATATTTAATATGTTATTTATATATTACATAGTTTTATGAATGTTTAAACTTCAATTTTAACATAATTAGTCGAAAATATTAAACATTTAATATATAATATATTATTTATAAATTTTGATTAATTCGGTTAATCGACTGAATTAATTGAACTTTATTTGATTCAATTAATAATTTCTGAATAAATTTCAATTCAATTAATTCAGTTTGTGGAAATAATATTATCATTTATGCTATATTTTATGATTTTGATATTTACCCATTATGTGTCTTTTTTTTTTTTAATTTTCAAAAACATTGTGGTATAAAGAGTGAATAAAACAAAAACAACTCGCAATAAAAAAATGAAATTTTAACCAATTAACTAACATAATTCATATATAACCTTAATCGAAGAACATTGAAATCAATATTAAAAAAGCTAAACTTAATTAATATAGAGTGAATTAAACATTCTTTGCACCCTGGCCTCCCTTGCTCAGCTCCAAATCTCCATTAATGGGGTAATCAAGATCTTCCATGAAGAGGGATCAGTACCAGTGTGACTTCCACACTTGGTTCATCCCTTCGATCGGAATATCCTTCGTCTCTGGCAGGAATAGTAGATAAAGATCGACATTATCACGACGAACAAGGCGAAGAACAGGAAGAGTCCGAACTTCAAGTGGCGCCAAAGCGTGGTTAAGAACAGTTGAGCCACTAAAAATGTGAATATCATGTTGACGGACACATTGACACTCTGCGCGGCTGATCGGATTTCCAACGGGAAGATTTCACTAGGAACCAACCATCCTAATGGTCCCCATGACCACGCGAATCCGGCGACGTAAACGGAGATGAAAACCACCACGACAACCACGTACCATTTAGGCAAATCGCCAGGGTTCCCACTGGCTTCAAACTTATAACCAATGCAGGCAGCTACAACAGCATAAAAATACACATAAAAAATTAGTACACATTGTAAAAGTCGTTGATGGCAAAAAAAAGAAGAAAGCTGGCAGATCAACATTTGAACGCCACCCTCTAGGAAAAGGAATCGCCGACCCATTTACCGACCCTGTAGATCGAAACCAATGTCGCAGCAACATTAAGATACCGGTTATCACAGCGGACATGAGGGAAGCATCATCTCCGAAGCCTATCGTGTTGAACAATACGGGGGCATAAAACATAATCACATTAATGCCGGTTAGTTGTTGAAAGAAAGGGATTAAGATGACCATTGTCAAATGAGGCCTGTATTTCGTCTATAACAAGTTTCTCCAAGGGTGTTCAACTAGCTTCGATGTATAACTAGAAGCAACAATGTCTGTAAATTCCTCGTCACATCGTCAACCCCACAGATTCTCTTGAGTTTCAATCGAGCTTCCTCGATTTGACCATGTTCAATCATCGAGTTCGGTGTATCGGGAGGAGTAGGGATCCAATTGTGATGATAAGGGCAGGGAGCATAGCACCACCCAAACTCAGTCGCCAACCCCAACCGCCTTTGATCTTAGCAAGAAGTAATTCAACACATTGGCAATAAGAATGCCAATTGTGATTGATAATTGGAACTCGATGTTCAATGCTCCTCTGTATCTGTAGGTTGCCATCTCGGAGAGGTACAACGGCGTAGACTGTTTACAGTAACGAACGCGATTTTACGATACTAAAGCGGATTTATGAATCTGTTTAGATAATACGTTCGATATATGAATCTTACTTGATTGGAGAATGCAACACCGAACCCGAGTAACATTCGACCAACAATCAACATCCAGACAGCTTTAGCAAAGCCATTGATGAGAGCTCCGGCGAAGAAAAGTAAACCACCGAAAAGCATGGATAATCTCCGGCCAAGCTTACGGGTGACGGTGGAACTGCCAAGGAAGCCAAAAGGGCAGCCAAATACAGTGACGATGTGAACATCGTCAGTGTTTGGCTATTGTATTGGCAATACTGATTCGTCGACTTATTAGCTTCCTTCTTCTCCCAAACTTTTCGGAAGAATTTTTGAAGAAAAGGAACCATAGTCGTCACTCCACCAATAAAAAGAAAACATCATTAATATCTACCAAGAAAGGATTTTTTGGGATGTTCTAGATATATTATACCTGAAATACCAATATCATAACCGAAGATCAAAACCCCCATGGCAGCGACGATACATGTTACAGTGACGAATGGGGTGAGGTTTCCCGCGTATTCCTTGCCGTTACCCGGCCCTATTCCTCCGGCTGCCAGCATGTTTTATCTTTCTTTGTTTTAATATTAAAGAAATGTAAAGCTG